GGGGGGGGTCCTGTTGCCGAATGTTATCTAGCCTTTTTTTTCAATGACACTAGAGTAGCTTTGTCAGACCTTCATTGAATTATGTATCAACAGTGCTCTATATTTTAAGGAATAGCATTTTTCTTGGATTATCTTTCATTGCCATTATGGTTTGATAAAATGTGGAAAAATGGGGTGCTGTTGTTTTTCTCCATCAAGTAATGTTATTTATTGCTTGTATATGATCAAAGCCATTCCTTGTGGTCATTCCTTTTGTAACAAAGATTTACCTCAAAAAGTCAAATTTTGTAATACTCAATGCCTTAATGCATTGTAAATTTATTATCACTCTGAGCTTTTCTCCCTTTTTCTAGCAATCTATTTTAAGGTAATATGTATTTATATTACGGTTTTCTTACTAGTCATTATGAGTTTATCTTATGAGTTTTGATCAAGGTTTTGTAGATTTTTCATCTATATCTTCTGTAGCCTTCTTATTAATTGTGAATTTGAATTTGTCTTGTTCGTTGCTTCTTGGAAACGAAGGGGATTGGGGGCAAGGGTCATCATTGACATTTATTATTTTGATCTCACTGATACTTTGTGAGAAATTTGCTGTTACTTTACTTGTTGCTAAATACCTATTACCGTATCAAGTTATGCCAAGCCGAACGTCAAGCTACTCAGGCTATCTGTAACCCCTTCTCCTTCTAATCCTCCCATAGCCCGAAAAAATTGTTGCCTCGGGCTTGAGTTTCGGCTTGTGCTTGTGCTTGCGCGTTCGGCTTGGCTTATCTTGATATGACATATGTTGTTTAATGGGTTGAAGACAACTTGCTTCGAATTTTAATAGGTAGTGTACATTTATTTTTCAAAAAAAAACAAAAAAAAACTTACTCAAATTTGATACTTTACAGGATAACTGGCTGTGGTTATAATAGCAAGTGAGTTCCTGCGTAGGTTTAAAATTTTCTTTCCAAATTCAATTTTGAAATTCATGACTATCTTCTAGTCTGAAAGGCAAAACCCTCAACTTTGAATTTTTCACTGAATACTGAAACACTACTGTAACTGTTAAAAAATTGTTCCAATGTGAAACCGACTTGCACATTTCCTCTAAGTTTGCATGCAACTCAAATGTTTAATTTGTGCATTTTGAGAAAATAAGTTAACCAGTGATTAGTCAACATTTTTATATCTGCAGATGCATTGAACTTCATACTTAACTTTATAGTTCCATAAAATTTTGCATTTTGTTTGTTTGTCTCTAGAGACCAGCCTCATGCATTTTACCCAAAGACTTTGGACCAAAGTGGATTTTTTTAATATACTTTATCTGTATTTAAAATTTGAATGGGTCTAACCCTTCTGTATTCCTTCTTTCCTATTGAAAAAAAAGGACACAAAAAAAAAACTCTATTTTCTGATTATAGAAACTATCTACCTTATTAAGGAGTCTAGCCTCAGCACATTTGTGAGAAACTGGTTGGGTTTATGACTTAAAATCTTTTCCAGAATGTGATCTGTGTGTTCTTTTAGATGTATGTTACTAAAAAAAACAAGCTGTAGTTAGTATTGCTCTAGTCTCTGAAAAAGGCTCGAACTCAAGTGATATTTATGTTGTCTGTTTATTTGACTGAAGAACTTATGTTGAATGTCACTTACAGTATTTGTCATAATAATGTATGTGCCATAAAATCAGAATTATTATCAGTAATAAGTTGTTAAATAATTCAACTATCAGACACAGACCGCGTTGTGCTTTCTTCATAAAAATATGAATTTCACATCAGTCCAATGTCTGTCGCGACTGAGAAACTTGAATGTAAAGATTTGTGTCCATTTGTGCCATTTCTCATTCGATGTAAAGAGATAAACTTAAAACCAAAAGTAGGTTTTATTTGTTTTTATCAGTCACTTTTAATAAATGACATACATCATGTATATGTATTTTCCCTCCCACTTCCCCTTCCCACTTCCCATAGATGAAATAAGAGCCACAATTCAAGAGAGTTGATATTAATCAAGCGGGTACGCGGGGGGGGGGGGGAATCATTGAAGTCAAAACAGCTGGCTGCATCCGTCTTCCTTCTTTCAGCT